TTTGGGCTTGGAGAAGACATCTGGCCCACATGGAATGTCAAGTCCAAAGAGCCTTAATGTTGCAGGAATGATTTGAGTTGACAAAATCGAAACGTGGACTTGAGAACCACATGGAATGTCAAAGTCCAAAGAGCCTATTGCAGCTCGCCTTAGCTCAGTTTGTCACATCATTGCCAAATGGAAGAAGAAACGTCATCTCCAAATGACTCGATTATTAGAATCTCGATACTACAAAGCGAGGAACATGTCTGCTAGGTTTCTGAGACTGCAAACCCAAACCATTCGCAGACTCGATATGTTACAGGTGGTCACCAAACTTCTCGGTGAGCCGTCTCTTTCTCAACATTTATTTTCTCCATGCGTGTCTATAATCTATGTATCAGAATCATCTTCTTCCCTTCTGCGATGTGGTCGATGACAGTCTAACTAACCATTTGTAATTGCTTCGTCGTCGTGGAGAGTAGCTTAAGACCATCAAGCCTGAACTCAGTGAATATAGGTCAGACATTTCTTTTGCTGCATGAACAGCAACCGGCAATCCACAGAACACGCGTTGAGTTTGATCTCTCTCCCACTTTGTATTCGGAAAATGACACGCACAATTTCGATCTTTCAACGATGTGACCGTCAGTGGATGATGACTAATAATAATAATGATAATGGACAGTGATCTCTGTCCCGAAGTCACCGCTGACTCGCCATCCTGTCGTGCTGCAACAAGAAGGTTGACTTGGAGGTTTCCGGGATGATAGATACTGCTGTTGCAGAGATCGAAAGCAAACTAGTGGAAGAAGGAGAGGAGAAGGGCGAGGATGAGACCACGATTCTGACCTCGGTGTCACATCAACATGAATGGGCCGCTGTTTGCATCTGAAACCATGGATCCAACGTCATTGCCTTTGGAAAAACAATGCGAGGGACTCTCCCTCGCCTCGGTTGACTTGGGGGAAGACTTTGGATGGGACAAATGCCATTGAATAGGCTGCATGAGTTGGGAACAGATGCTTTCTTTTGCTATCATCTTCTTTACTGTGATGAACTGATGGTAAGAACTCAAGAAATGAGGGAGGCCGGTTTCTAAATGCCATGAAATCCACATTTTTCTTATTTTATTTGCATCATATGAATTGTAATTGGGAGATGTTAACAGATTAATCCAGAAAAGAAGTCAAAATTCACCCATAAATATGTAAATGAATTATGTAGCTGTCGTTTGCCAGATGGTAAATTTTTTTAAACATATCTAATGCGCAATCTAAATTTTTTTCTATATACCCAAAATACTCTTCCATTTCGAACTTTTTTATCTCACAACTGTTGGTCATTATCCGTGACGACGAGGGTATATAGGTAAACATACATGTAGTGCTGCAGTTGGCATCGGAGGTAAAGCTGTATAAGGCCGACGCGAAGGCGGAGGATCCATCTCGGTATCCACCCGTTTGCTTGGGTCTTCGGCGGTGGTCGCACGGCAAATGGTGGCGAGGATGATGAGGTGGCGGCCGTGGTCCCTGCTGCAGTCCAAGAGGTACGAGATGCGGCTGGTGGTGCGAAGAATCGAGGGCCTGCCGGAGACGGGGTCGGGATTGGGGTCCAGAGCTGCTGCCGTGGCTGAGGTGAGGTGGAAGGGTTCGAAGACGCCGCTCAGCTCGCTGCGGCGTGGCGGGGTGCGGCGGAACCGGACGAGGGAGGAGGAGGTCCGGGAAGGGGGCGTCGTGGAGTGGGACGAGGAGTTCCTCACCGCCTGCACCCTCTCCGCTCACAAGGAGAACGGTGCCTTCCTACCCTGGGAGATCGCCTTCGCCGTTTTCATGGTGAGTCCTAATTTTCTCTTATGTTCTTGCTTCTGATTGTTCCCAACAAGTTGCTACGCTTTTGTTAAAGATTGTCCAAGTACGATTTGGTGTTTCCTTTTATCTTTTTGTTAGGGTTTTGATTGGGATCAAAACAACTCCTTTCGTAAGTTCTCAAATGTCTCAATGCATACATAAGTGGTATTAGATTGTTATTGAGCTACATAGACATGCTTTATCAATTTTGTTGGTGTTTTGTTAATTTCATATCCATTAATTGTCACTGGGTTGAAATGGCTGATTTTGAGCGACCTTTCAAGAAAATTCCTCAATAGTTTACACAGTCTGAGTAGTTCGTGAATCAAGAATTCCTTGTCATTGTTGTTGAGTTGAATAAACCTCCTCTGGGTGCCTAATTTTTACCTTTAACACGTTAACTGAAGTCTTAAATCCGTAATCAGTTGACTAGACCTTTAACACAATGCCCTTCCTCTGAATTTTTTTACTGTAACTCTACAAATTCTCCATGGAAGGTTTAGTTTCCAAAGATTCTGAACTTTATGTCAGTTTCCATTCTGATTTTGAAGCTGTTTACAGTAGTCTTCCTTCTGGTCATGTAATTTCTATGTTTACAAGTGTATGCTCTGAAGAAGGTTTAGTTTCCCCTTGAGCTGAACACAACTATCTGATCACGTATTTTCTATTTTATCTTCTCATTAGGGTCTAGGTGAAGGTCCTAAGATCAAGGCCTGTATGATTGGCATGGCTTCTGTGAACCTGGCAGAATTTGCTCCCACTGCAGAACAAAAAGAGATGGAGATCGATGTTCCTTTGTTGCCAATGGGCATCCCTACTGAATCCCAGCCAACATTATATGTACGTTACTCTCTGTTGATTTTGCTGTGATGTTTTGTGTCCAAAAAAATTATTGTAAAACAACAAATCAACTGCCCAAATAAAGTCACTCGTTAATTAAAACAATCTAATCAAAGTGATTGCAAAGATTCATTGTTATTTTGCTTAGTGTTCAACTGTGGTTAATCAACACATGGATTTGTGTCTTTTGCAACAAAAGTGGCAATATTATATTCTAAATTGGAATCTGCCACTTCTACCTTCTATCATCATTGACATTCATATTTACTGACATGATGGTAGCTTCCTGTCACAGATAGCACTTAACTTACTGGAGTTGAGGACCATACAAGAACAGACAGAGGCAGTGCAGAGTTCTATAGTTCCTGTCCCCTCGTCACCTCCCCTTGGTGATGCGTTCCCTTGTGAGAAGGATGAGCCACATACTCTTAAATCTGGATTGAGAAAAGTAAATATACTTAAAGCTTTAGCTTTAAGTCGAAAAGCAAAAAAAGCATACCAAGAGGATTACGGCAATGAAGAGAAATGCTCTCCTAGGAATGATGATGCTGAACATGCATACCCCTGTAACACAGACTCCCTCGATGATGTTGAAAATGTAGAAGAAAACAAGGATGGTTTTAGTGAAAGAAAATCTTTTAGTTATGGAACCTTGGCATCTGCAAACTACATCGAAGGATCATTTTACTCTGATATGATGACAAATACAGATTATGATGATTTGGTTTACTACAGTCACCAAAAATCAGATGTCAGTTATTCAGATGTTGAGGATGCGCCATCAATATCTATACCTGAGCACCCTGTTTACTTTGTTTCAAAGAGAAGTATCATTCCGTGGAAAAAGACCAGGCTCAACTTCAGATCTCCAAAGGCTAAAGGGGAGCCTCTGCTAAAGAAATCATATGGAGAAGAGGGTGGGGATGACATAGATTTTGATCGTCGTCAGCTTTGCTCTGTTGGAGGATTAACTTGTGCTGTGGTATGTTATCATTTTTCAATTTTATCTTTTTCGTGGTAACTCTCATACCTCATGTGATATTTAATATTATCTATATTTACCATGAAAGATGTATATGAGCTCACATTAGGTACATATACTTGTAGTGATTAAACCATTGTGTCAAAGCGCTCTTAAGGCATTTAATAAACATTCAAAGATGATGCAATTTTTGTGTTTTTTTCAAATTTTATCTTATTGTGTTTGTTCTTTTTGTGCTGCTTATGTTTTTCTCTTTGATTTATAAGATTAAAGATCTTATGTTTATACACAAAGGATAAAATTATTTTTAATGTGTCATGGGTGGCTATACATGCGTAATCTGCTTTGTCTATGAGGATCATTTACAACGTCACAGGTTGTTTGAAAGTACTTTTAATGTTATTTCAGAATTGGTATGACAATTCGGTGGCAAACTGTCCAGCTGTATCCAACTTTGGTGACGATAATTTTGTGGTAGGAAGCTGGGAGCTGAAGGAGGTAATAAGCCGTGATGGTAGCTTGAAGCTCTGCACCCAAGCATTCCTTGCATCCATTGACCAGAGGAGTGAACAAGCATCTGGTGAGAGTGCTTGTACTGTGCTTGTTGCTGTTATTGCTGATTGGTTTCAGGCTAATCCCCATATGATGCCTATCAAATCTCAATTTGACAATCTCATACGAGAAGGTTCTCTAGATTGGAGGACACTTTGTAAGAACCAGACATACAGGGAGCATTTTCCTGACAAACACTTTGACCTCGAGACTGTTCTGGAGGCAAAAATTAGACCGCTTTCTATTGTCCCTGCAAAATCCTTTGTGGGGTTCTTCCATCCTGAAGGAACTGATGATAGTGACAGCTTCAACTTCCTGCATGGGGCAATGTCCTTTGACAACATCTGGGATGAAATCAACCGAACTAAACCAGAATATTCTTCTGATTGTGGTCCTCACATTTACATCGTTAGCTGGAATGATCACTTCTTCATCCTCAAGGTCGAGCATGATGCTTACTACATTATTGACACTCTTGGGGAGAGACTTCATGAAGGGTGCAATCAGGCTTACATTTTAAAGTTCGATGACACCACAACAATTCACAAACATAAGAATGAAAGCAGACCTGCCTGTGGCAATGTGCCAGATGCTGAAACTCAAGTCCAACATAATGATGGTATAAAGCAGGGGGAATTTTCTGGGGAGCAGGACATCAGGGATGCTAATATGGAGGATGAACTCATATGCCGAGGGCAGGAATCCTGCAAGGAGTACATCAAGAGCTTTCTCGCTGCCATCCCGGTCAGGGAGCTCCAAGTTGATCTAAGAAAAGGACTGACAACTTCAACACTAATTCACCACCGTCTTCAGATAGAATTTCATTACACGGAGCTTTCCAAAGAGGTAATGGCAAAGCTTTTCCAACCAGCATCAGAACTACACTTGGCAGTATCAGATTCTGAGTTCTTATGTCCAGTGGAGTCGGTTTTCGAGGCTTCGTGGACAAGAGAGGCAACTGCTGATCTCTCATTGCCAGTAGAATCAGCTGCTGAGTCTTCATGGCCAGTGGAATCAGCAGTGGCATTTTTCCTAACCACGTCTGTAAATTTGGAGGTGGAGGTTGTTTAGGCCTCATCCTTGCTGTTTCAATCGACAATTTGTCTTTGCACTCGACTTAACCCAAGATATGAATGATGGAGAGCTACGAAAAAGGATTCATGTAGTCGGCCTTAAATATTAAGGTTAGGATAACTTGTTAATGTTGTAGTTATAGATTTTTGTTCAAATGTGTTAATATTATGATGAGAAGAGACTAAGGGAGAGAAGCAAGGAGTTATTTTGCTTCACATGGAGCCACCTTTTTAGTGTTTCCAACTGTATGTAATGCTCTTAAACTTATGGGCTTGTGTTTTTGTGCATGTATATGAGAAAGCTTATTTCATATTAGGAGTGCAACCATATATTTTGAACTTTCTGAAGTATTATTATTATTATGTATTATGAGCAGTGGTGTGCTATGTTAATGATTAATATGTGTTATGACATCACCACAACTTTTGAAATGGATGGTTTGATGTACTTTGATCATAAGTTTGATAGACAGGTTTCTCACTTATTATTGTAATTGATTGAGATTTTTTTCAATTTTTGGACAAAATTTTCAACATATTTTAAATGGGAGAAAATGGCTATTGAAAAAAGACTTCAGTGGGATATTTATGTAAAATTATCTCAGCGTTGATATCACTGTGTCCGGAAACGTATCAACATCTTTTAGATCTCTATGATGGACGGCTGTGGTTTGGCCACGTTACCCATGCTAAATTCGCGACGCTTTACCATCCCCGATGCTCCTTCGGCCCCTCGGCGAATGCAGGGTTTTGCTGTCCGCTCACCGGAGGTGAAACGTGCGGCTTTTGAACCCTTCCTTTGTCCTAGGCTTTTGAGCGCTCTTCCTCTTCTTTCCGTCTCTTCCCCCTCCTTTCCCTCCCCTTTTGTTTGAGCCAGCCTAGGGAGAGGAGCGACGACGATGGTGACCACAAGAGGCATGGCGTCTCTCGCGGTGGAGCGAGGGACTCCGGTGACGCAGGATCCGCGGAGGGAGAAGAAGAGGGAGCGGGGGTGCACTCCATCCTCTCCCCTTCCGCTACCGATCTCATCTGGCGCCTCCACCCGAGAGACTCCGACGACGCAGGAGCCGCCGAGTGAGACGAGGAGGGAGCGGGGACGCAGTCCATCCTCCCGCCCTCCGCCACCGATCTCATCTGGCACCTCCACGCGAGAGACTCCGACGACGCTGGAGCCGCGGAGTGAGAAGAGGAGGGAGCCGGGGAGCAGTCCATCGTCTCCCCCTCCGCCACCGATCTCGTCTGGCGCCGCCACCCCGGACGCCTACGAGAAGGTCCGGGACGAGAGGATTCGGGAGAACATGGAGAGGCTGCAGAAGCTCGGCATTCTTGACCTTTCCCTCCGGCTCAAGTCCCACCTCCAACACGCCTCATCCTCCGCTCCTTCCTACCATCACCGGAGGAAGAGGGACACCACCACCGGCACCACGAGCGGCCAGAAGCCGCCGATGCAACCACCGAGGCGCTCTTCTAGGTGCGTCTTGTTTCTTTTCCTTTTCTAGACTTGGTTTCATCCCGTGGGATCGCGTTTCCGTGGCATTCGTTCGCCGTTTGGGGCTTCTCAAGGGTTTTAGCCTTTTCTCAATTTGGTATTCTTGTGTTCCGTTCATGGACTAATAAGCAGACCTTCGGTGAGGGATTCATGGTGTTCTTCTGCAGCTTTCATCACCAATTTGCTGGTGGAATTAATTGTGATTCCGATCATTTGACTCCGGCTTGCTGCCCGTCTTTTTCTGGGGTTTGATTTCTCTCGTTTTCGCGGCAGCATCAAATATCTAGGGTTTTGAGGCTGCCAGGTTTATTCATGTGTTCAAAGAAAGATAAGGCTTTAATTAGGGCATTCACAATTCAATATTAATGTTTTTTTCTTTGTTTCATTTTTGTCATATATGCTGCACTATTCTTTTTTGCCTCCCTTTTAATTGATATATTTCATCGAAGCAGATCTTCTTAACTCTTTTTTCTAATAATTAACATGGATATTTCTTCCTTGGGTATTGATGAAGTCCCTTGTTCATTTATTGTTCATCTTAGGTTGCAACATATAACCCCAGTTAGCTATGCAGAAATTCCTATAAAGAAAGATGTGGGCTCTGAGTTGAATGGCTCAATTTCGATTGAGGAAGGTGCAAAGGAAGAGATTTATACGGATGAGCATGAGAAGCTACTAGGTAAATGTGAGACAACTTGGAATCTGTTTGTGGATGGGTATGGTAATGATGGAAGGCGAATATATGATCAGATAAGAGGAAAGACATGTCACCAGTGCAGGTAACCAATGATTTCTGCAACTTCCGTTTTTTCTGATTATGTTGCTGCATGCAGAATTTGTGGTAATGCATATACTTTCTGGTGATCTAATCAGGTCTCTTTTTTCTTTAGCTTTTCTGGTCTTCATTTTTTTATCTGATGGATTTTGTATATGTTGGGGAAATGTCTAGCTCTTACTTTCGTATGGATATGTATTCTTCCTCACTTTCTATATCCTTTGCCATAGCTGTCAGCCTAGATGATCCATCTGAGGAAGTCTGCATGATCTCAGACAGCATTTGATTTATACAGTTATATAATGAAGCCACTCTTTAATAACTTTGCACTTCAATAAACCTCTCCAATCATATTTAGCCCTTATGCTCATTTAGATGATTTTCAAAGTAAAATTGGTGATTGAAGTATTAGCATTAGAGAGGAGTTAGGCGTGCATTGTGCATGATTTTATTGGTTACACAATATCCTTTATTTTCCACAAAAGACTAATATGTCAGTGCCATATAGTCAGCAGTGTTGTGTGGTTGATAAGTTTCTTCAATACTTCTGAACTACTAGTCAACTCATTTCAGCTTTTTGTTTAAGCATATGAAGGTTGTTTGGTTTTAAATATACACCACATTTTTCAGGCAAAAAACTCTTGGTCACCGAACACACTGCAGCAAGTGTAAGATTGTCCAGGGCCAATTTTGTGGAGATTGTTTGTTCATGAGGTATATTTCTTTATCTACCTTTGGCTTTTGCGTACACATGAAAGGAAGAGTTATATAATTTGAGCATATTTTTCTTCTCTTCCAATTTCATTCGTTTGTGTTGGAGGATATTTAGTAATAAAGTTTTTAGAAAATAAAATTTGATTATTTTTGTTATCCATTTCTTTGACATCAAAAGTGATCCATTCCTGAGGATTCAACTCGGGCGAAGTAGAACATATACCAATACAATTTTCAAATTCATAGCCCAGAAACCAATCTGATTGCTGCCCGTGTCATTGATCTGAGCCCCAACAGAGCTGGGGTCAAGTTGGTAGCATTTTACAAGCAACATGCTCACAGCTCCCTTTCATCCCTTCTATGCAACACCAATGAGATGACTGTCATTTGGTGGCAACAGAAAAAAAGTTTGCAATAACCTAAACTATTTAGTTCTTGTGTACCAGAAATGGTGATGTTTGAGGTAGTATATACTTGAAGTTGCTTTGGGTCACCACCCCAAACTTGGCACCATAAAGTATTTCCTTTCCATGGTACAACTACCTCTTCAGTCTTCAAGGTCAAGGGTTTGGATCATCATCTTTTCTTTGGGTGATCAACAAGACCTGGAAGAAGTGATCAACAAGAGAGATTATTTGGGTGGGAGGGAGGGATGATTCATAATGAAGTTTTCTATTGCTCTTTCTGAGTATTGCAGTATTATGCTTATTAACATACATAACTGCATGTTTTAGGTGGTGATGGTTGCACTTTTTTTTTGTGGTTTTTGTACTTGTATAACAACTAGGGACACAAACAAGTTTTGCATTGCTCAAGAAAAGTAATTTTCTTCTCAAGGAAAGTTTTTATAACTGGCAATCTTGTAGCGTCTTGAGATTCACCAGATGTTTTGCACCAGATTGGTTGCAAGTTACTAAGACTATGAAATTCTAACTTAAAAGCTGCTAGTTGTGTATGAGGTTCAACGAGATGAGGTATAACAATCATTTCTAATCATATAGCCACCAAAATCAGAAATTCGTTGATTTTGGCAGGACTGGCTCTTTCACTTTCTTTGTTTTCATGATAATTCTTATGATAGCAAACATATCGCTTTTTCTTTTTCTAATAACGAGTAAATGTAAATACCATGCAGCATTTTTTTGTCCATTTGTACAATGAAACGACTGATTGAATCCCCAAAAAGATTTTACCAATCAAATGTTGCTTGTTTTCCAAGAAATAATAAAGTTGGTTGTACAGAAAACTCATGCAGAGAGTCCTAAAACTTACCTTAAACTTTGGCATATTTAATATTTCAGCAGTTGCGTGCAATCTATGGAAAAATAAATCCACTTGCCATAATTTAAGCCCGCTTAACTCGTTTAGGTGTTGGTTGTTTCTAATTAGTTATTGGTATACTAATCGTTCTGTAGGTATGGTGAGAATGTTTTGGAAGCCATCAAGAATCCCAATTGGATCTGTCCAGTTTGTCGGGGCATCTGCAATTGCAGTTTCTGTCGAATCAAGAAAGGATGGGGCCCCACTGGCCCCCTGTACAGAAAAGTAAATACTTGTTGTTCTGTTTCAATCTTTTCCATTAATAGTATCAAATAGCTTCTAGATAATACAAGCTATTATTTATTTTATCTGTCTTATTTTTAGCATTCAAATATGCAGCTGTTTGTTGATCTGACTTGGGGTTTGATGCATGGTAACACTCATCTGTTTCTATCCAGATTGCCAGTATGGGATACAAGTCTGTGGCGCACTATCTTATTCAGTCACGACGGCAGCAGACAAGTTCTGGGGATCTGAATTCTTCTGAATCAGTCTCTGCAGAAGATTCATCCAACATAAATGCAGACTTTTATGGAGAAAACAGCAAGATGCCAAGTACCATAAATCTTGGAAGCAATATTAAGAAGAAAAATGAATCTTTCCCTGAGGAGGAAAATGAACCTCTCTCCGATAAGGAAAACGAGTCTCTCCCTGAAAATGGGGTACGAAGTTCAGATGACTATAGTGCGGAAGATACTGCAGAAAAGAGTCCCACAAAGCTTAGAAGCAAGATCAAGAAGAAAAATGAATCTTGTGATGATATTAAACCAATCCATGATAGTGTTGCTAGCAGATTACGGAAGAGGCACAAGACATGAATACCTTGGCCTCTTTCAGATTTTGCCGAGGCCATTGCAGAACTATACTTTTGCTCAAGCTGTCAACCGGTACATGGGCCAAAAAATGTCGGAAAGAATGATGCTTGGTTATAGAAGTCGATAATTCAGCTTTTTACAGCCACAATTTCAGAATTCGAAATATTTTGCTTGACCTTTCAAAATATATATGGGCCAGTTTA